GCTTAGCAACTCGTAAAACTTCATTCCTCGTATCACCACTCGCTGCTGTGCACCTACCCTGTAAACAAATACCACGTTCAGACAACACAAATGCATTGCATCGAAGCACGTTGATGTGTTTAAAAAAACCCCACACAAAAGTCACGTTCTTTCAGTAGGTTGATCGGTAGGTCCCTAACATGTGGGTGGTGTAAAGTATCCTTCACCACTTGGAAAGTTCGGTCGAGTCGAACTCTATTCGCTCCACAGAGGGGGGTTCTCTTGGACTAACTATAAATATAACTACTAACCGATGTATCTCTTTAAAATCATGCTGGAAAAGCAACTGGCTATACTAGTGAGGCTTTCTTGATTTACATCTACATGCAGTATGAATGATGTGTAGGTACTGTCTGAGGAAGAGGAGACACAGATACCCTCTAATAACGTCCCCAATAGTGGAGGCCCTTGCCGCCAGCAGTGGCATGGGCAAGGTAATTTTGGGGCTGCACGTTTAGTTGTGGGTTATGTGGATCATAACCCACAACTAAAACTTGCGCAACGAGTTACCATTCCAGTGCTGCATACACGTGGACAGGCAAGGCACGTGGTTAATGTTGCGGTTTCTCCTTCCTACTGGGCTATACGAACATCCAACACTACAGCATATACCAAATGTATCATATCTATTTGCAGAAGCACCATGAGCAAGCATTTTTAAGTGTTTGCTTGAGCATGTTTCAGTATTGTCCAAAGCCTACATTTCCTCTAACCGTATACACTTCTGTATTTGAAAGCAGTCAGGAGGAAGTGAGCGTGTAAAGATACTGCAGTAACATACAAGACCGTGTCTTTAGTGTAATGTCATTACATGCATAGGAATGTCACGTCGATTCCATACATGTACTGTGAACTAGAAGAATTATTAAATCGAAGGCATGGCCTCCGTTAAGTTAATAAGGGGAATACAAAAGAGGATGAGACTGAGACCGATGAAAACATTATTTGAGTCACACGTATGGCTGAGTCACACGTGTGGGTGGGTTAAAGCAATGTTTTTCAGACGAGCAGAGGTCATATTTTGTGTGTTGAACAATGTTAAGGTAGTAACAACTGTCTGTTATCTGTCCAATGCTACGTTTGCAAAAGCAGGAAATATAAGAATACAGCACGAGCTTCACGTAACCATAAGTTAAGCTACAATAGTGAAGCGTTCAAACTATACTCCATACTGTTATAGTAACTTGCCTCACTCTCTGCTCTTAACACAAGTGAGCTATCCATCCAAAAATGAGTTTGTGCAGTCCTTTATATAACTAGTAAACGCACCAACGATTAGTAAACTTTTGGCATGCGATTGGACTCGTTGGACAAATGCAGATGCGAGAAAAGGGTTGCACACAGAAGTAGACCTGATGATACACAGGCAGTGATGAGAAGAGAACTGGCACCATTTGAACAAATACGTACGATGGAAAACAGGGAAATTGAAAGTGTGTTGCTCGGAAAAATGTAAGGAACTGGAAAGAGGGGATGATCAAACAGAGAATGGCTTGACGACGAAATTGGAGATTAGTGCCAGAAAGATGTGCACTAACTTGAGCATATCGGCACAGAAATCAGAAATAAATTACGAAATGCGCAGTGGACACCTAGGGGCTATCTGCCTGTAGATCGTGATGATGATTGCTGATCAACAATTACATATCAAAAAAATATCACACGAACATCAACAAAAATGACATATCAACACTAATAGCACCACCGCGTGTATAAATATTAGGCCAGCTTACAACTATTTTCCAACCAGAACTGAAAGCCACAATTAAACCACAACCAACGCAACCACGATCACGTGGCCACGACTGCATTAGAAACACAACCACGTTAGAACCACACCCCTCGCAGCATGCTACATTGCCGACAACCCGTGACAAAGGCTCAATATCCATAAACATTATCCATAAACACTGCCATCATCTTTGTTTTTTGTGCGGACATCTCACCGTGTCCAGCCCCAGAGAATCTACAAAACTTACAACAGCTGCAATGCCCACGCCGTAGGAAATCAACCTGCACCATCATCATCACTGCACAATCCCAATAGGTATGATTCACGGCAACTGCATCATTGTCGTCTGAACAAGTTCACTTTTTAGCTCAGTGGTTCTTAACCTTGGGTGCACGCATCCCCCCGAGGGTGCGAGATGCCCTTTCTGGGGGTGCGAGACATGGCCAGATTAAAGGCCGTAATTATAATAATTATAATATATAATATATTGGGGGGGGGAATATTGGGGGGGTGGGCACATCCCCCCCCCCCCAATATTCAAATATGCTCAAAATGTTCCCCCCAATATATTGCTATAAAATAGATTTCTGTTTATATGATTGTGGTTATGGTTGTACTTTATTAATCCCTAATCTCTACCATTACATCCAATGTTAAAAAAAAGTTAATCCCATGTGTTAGTGAATTATTTTTTTTATATTTTAGGCAGGAAATTCGTTTTCAAATTTAGATTTTTTTTTCTGGGGGGGGACCCCCAGACCCCCTGGAAGATGTGGGTCCCCCCCCCCCAATATTGACTCCATGGCTACGGCCTTGGCCAGATTTATTTTAGAAGGTAAATCATCTCAAATACAAATTAAGCACGGGCTTGTTGCTGGCAGAATATGAATCCCTGCAGTCACGAAAGCTTTAAATCAAAATTTAAGTACAACTTTGTTTCATCAGACCTATGTTCATTATTAAACATTATTTAAAAAATTACGATGTATAACCAAAGCGGTGCAAGGCTGCATGAAAGGTGAAGATCCACTGCTTTAGCTCCACAATTTACTGTCGGTACTCATCAAATTTCACATTATTACGGCACGAGTCCTAGCCCATCATCGAACGACCACTGACCGTAGTAGACTTCCAGCAAAGTGGTACTCATTTTATCTGACCAGCAGGATGATGATTATGATGATGGGCCGAGTCGAAACTAAACAGGACCTCATATTGCGAGATTTGACCCACACAATGCAACAAACATATCCACGGTATATTCATCGTTATCGTCAGCAAGCATGAGTACTCCACTGCTGGATGAAAAAGCCTCTCCCAAAGCGGTCGCAATAATATCTAGAAGCTCGACAGCACGAAGTAACATATAACCGGTGACGTTTCGGTCAATGGACCTTCTTCATAGATTGTAGATTATACCGTATACAGTACTACACAGTACTAGGCTTACGTTGCCGTTATATCTACTGACGCATCTTATAACAAACACTACCGCAATATATATTTTACATATAAGCAGCAATATGCGGTATATTACACCATAACGCAACTTACATATATTACACTGTAATATACAGGTTGGTCCAGATATCTTGTGACCCCCCCCCCATTAAAAAAAATAATTATATAAAACTTCATCATGTTTATTTAAAACATACATGAACATGCAACTTAACAAAAAGTATAGACATCATAGGGGTCAATTAATTGGAGGTGGAGGGGTGGTGGACGTGGGGTCACAAGACATCTGGACCACCCTTTCGAGTACAAGCGTCCCCTTTGGTCAATCCACTGCTGGATGAACTCCTTGCCGTGCCAGTCAAGGCTGGGGGGGGGGTGCAAACCGATAGAAGGGGGGGTGGGAGGGGGGGGTCTTAACCATACTTCACCAACCCTTTGGTTAGCGCGTGTGGGATGAAGGCTTCGGGCCTTCATTCTCCTCCGTTGCGTCGTGGGGGCCGAGGATCGAACACATCAACGAACGCGTCCCCCCCCCCCGCCTCCTCTATCTCTCTCATGCTCGTAAACGAGAAATGTTTAGCCCGCTACTCACCTTCAACAGGAGATAGCAGCACCGCAAAGTCGTCGTAACAACAACAGCAGCAGCAGCAGCCGCAACAGCGGTAGTGGTAGAGAATAACGCCGTGTGTGGGTTGTGCGCGCTCGGTGCCTGTGACTTCTACGGTCTTCCAGTGACTCTCCTCCTCCTCCCCCTCCTCTAAGGAGACGTCGCTTGTTGCTGGCGGAACGTTCGGCCTCGCATCAACCACGGGGAGACGCCTACACGGGACACACACAAAACGTAAAAAAACAAATAAATAACGGCGACACAAAGATGATGATAACAAAAAAATCCTTCCCCCACCCGTCGGGGTTGTTGCCTGAACACTTTGGTCAAGTGCTGTTCGCGAGCGGCTATTATCGACGCCCGGCCGCCTTTGTCTCTCTCCCACGTGCTGATGATGTTGTTGTTTTTGTTGTTAAATCCGAATCGGTTCAGGGCATCAAACTCACCGCTGACGACGACGATGTTAGCCGCGGTTGGGACTCGAACTCTGAGTTCAGGGTTCGTGGCCGGGACAACTGCGCCACCGCTCCTCCTAAACGATTGCCAACGCTGTTGTGGGCTTGGTGGGAAGAGACACGACGTTAACGTTTATTTATTCTAAAACACCACAAAAGCTAGCTGCAACTTGATTGCTACTCTGTTACACGTCCTGACGGAGTGGAGTAGTTGTTGGGGGGGGAGGGGGGGTGCATTGTTCAGAGGGATTTCCCCCGGCTTTTTAATCGCTGGAATTTCCATCGGAACTTGGACAACACCAACAACAACAAACCCAACCCGCCCGAGTCCAACACGTGGCGTTGCTGCGTGGGAGCGGTGGGTGTTGTGGTTAGCGCCACGCTGCGCCACGAAGCCCGGGCCCTTACCCCGAGTTCGATTCCCGTTCACGGTCAACAGCACCGGCGACGGTCCCGGGCCTCGTCCCCTAGGTAGACTCGGCCTCAAACGACTACCTGTTGTTGTACGATGTGTAAACAGTCGTACAACGTGGGAGGGGGGGGGAGAGACAAAGGCGGTCGGGCGTGGTGCTGAGCCGCACCTCGTGTGCCCTGCCGGCCTTCATAGGTTGCGGCTGCCTGAGAGCACTTGCCCCGTGAGTGTGTGGCAGGCTACACGGGGGATCTTTGTCTTTGTGATTTCTGCAACCCGGAAGGTACTTCACCCACCACCACCAACGTGAGGCGGCCATAGGCTTCACTTTGGCAGATTTCTATATTGTGGTGTGTATATGTTTTTTAAAACACTCTTTTTGAAAGCTTCAAAAAGTGTTCTATACGTACACCACGCGCGTCGCAAAGGGGTTTTAGTAGCTTTTTGCATTGCCCTCTGTTGCTTCGAGGTCCGGGGCATCGTCGTGAGAGGTTAGGTGTTCGTAAGGGGTTATTATTATATGCCGAGTTTAGTTTTGTTGAATAACAATAAGCGACGCTAACACAGAGTCGACTGTGGATGCAGTGTTTGTTGGGTAAGTTGCTGTTTTCTTTCCGGCCTCTTAAAGAGATAGTGTACGCGTGCCTTTGTCCTTTTTTTAATACACATACAGTATGCACATTGTTACATTACACGCGTGTGTTATACTGTGCTATGATATATACCGTTCTCACCGGTGTATAAGACGCAACAATCCCCCTCCTTGTCTGGAACTTGTGACGGATATCAATAAGGTCTGGGTCTCAACGCTTACTCATCTACCGCACCACCACACACACACAAACACAATCATTACTTAAAATATAGATTACTACGACATTGTTTAATCCAAGCTGCTTTAGGAATATTAGCCAAGTAGAGAACTCTGAGATTGAGTTAAGCTACCGTTGATGTTAAATTCACTCGTGACAAGTCTTAAAAAAACTACTACTACCTCGGGAGTAACTTTGCCGGTCAGAATTTGTTATCTGAAATGCATTGGTACGATTAATGATGATCTCCCGTATCTTTGTAAACGTGTTAGTCTTTGTCGGGTGGTGGAGGGTTGACAGCGATGTTGGCATACAACTACTACTGTACGTGGCCTAGCCCCCAACACATACTGTATGGTCTCGGAAGACCTTTATTTAGTTAAATGTCAATAGCATATTCTTGTCTGTAGGTGGCGTACGCCGACTATGCAATTTTTTGTTTAAGTACCACGGATGTCTCCAAAGATGTCCTGAGACACTGGGAAAATCCACGTTGCTATGTGCAGTGGGATTCAGGATAGTGGCATTGATTAAAACATTGTTTTCAAATCTGTTTGAATAAAATTGCAACAAGTGGTGCGGCTTTATTTGGTGGTGGTAATTGTTTTACCCAACTCATGCTGATTACAGCATGCGGCCAATAATTCGGTGACCTTTTTTGCCAGTATCAAAGTATACAAAAATAAGAATAGGTTTTACCCTTTATGGCAATATTTTTTTAATACTTTGATACTGGCAAAAAAAGGTCCCATATTGTAGTTGCTCATCCCGAGTTATAATTGCCCTGATAGTGGCATCGTCTTTGCGCTGTTCGCCTTTTGGCGTTCTCTGGTCTGACACTTGTGAGACTGGGCCCTAAAGAAGGCTGTCTGGTGTAGAACAATCAGTTTCAAAGACAATGTTTTTTTATCAGATCATGTTTATTTGCATGTTCACCACAAGTACGTGTGGTTAATGCGAACTTGATTCCTTGCAAAAGTTTTCTATTTGGTGTTTTAACTTCTTGACACCTGTTTTATTGCAAGAAAGGGTAAAACCTATTTGTATTTTTTCAGTAATAATTCTGGAGTCCTCTATTTACTCAAGAAAGGCTCCTTGAGTCTCTGTTTCTTGATGCCCATTGGGGGCCCGAAGCAGACATTATTTTGGGAGGCCACTTTTCAACGTTTAAAATCCTCCTTATGAAATGACGGAAGAGATATGGACAAGAGATAGTGAAATAAGAGATATGGAGCCAAAATAAGAGATATCGTGAGATGACAGAAACGAGATGCAGACAATATAGTGATGAGATATATTTAGTATTGTCTTATTGGATTGTTGTGTTTAGTAGGATTAGTATTTGAGCTGATTTTTTAATGAATCTGGGCCCCCATTGGGTTACTAAGCTTTTGCTGGGTTTGCTTATGCCTAGTGTGACCACTGCATCGATGTACAAAGAAAGTCTACCGTGCTGTATTTATTATTGATGCCTATTTGGCACAGTGCTTGACTCTCAATCAAAAGGTTGCAAGTGCAATCCTGGTTGGATGTCAGAACAACCCTTGTCACTTAGATATACAAACTATACCATTTGAAGGAAGTCAACAGGGGGCATTCTTTGGCAAGATGTGGAGACTGCCATGAGTATGTGGAAGTTACACCACTGGCTCACGGCTTTCCAATCGAGATTTGTGCTTCCCCAAGCTCATTTTGGGACCTCAGGGCTCACAAAAAAACTTCCAGAAGCTGCATTGCCTAGAGTTGTAGCGCTATCTGGTGGAGTAGTGGCACAGTGGTTGGCGCATTGTGCTGTGAGTCTCACAAACTAAGTTTGATTCCCGCTCATGGCTTACATCAGTGGCAAGTGATATCTGAACCAATTCCAAGCTTCCCCTTCACCAACCAACACTGACCAGGGCAGTGAAGTATAGTCAAACAACCCCACACTACCAACTTAGAATTATGAGTTATTCATCTAGCAGTGGATTGAGAAAGGGCTGCAAATTACAATAATTATTAAGCTGATTTGAGTAAGGTACTTTTAATTTTTGTGAACATCTGCATAAAGATGAATAACTTGAAGGCTTTTACTAGCCTTAAATCATAAACAACTTCTGACGAATAATAAACTATAGTGCAATAACAATGCGGCATGTACAACATTTGCCGCTGATATATTTTGCAGGCACGTTCAATATACGTTCCACTGTAATAATTATAATCACTATACAGTGTTGACATTGCGCAGTGTCACGATATCACGGCCACCGAGGCCCCAAACGCCATGCGGCCAGCAACGTACAGCCTGCGGCCATTATGGCGACTAATGATGATAAATGATGACGATTCCTTACGGAAACAATACGCCCATAGAATTCATGCAGTGACCCCCAACAACATTTGACAGAGGCCATCATGAAAAACGATAAAAAACAATGGTGACCGTGAAAGAGATTTAGAAGACAAAAAGGGCTGCTCTACTGTAACCGACAACGGCACAAAATGCAGCGGCAAATAATTCGTGAAAAACAAAAAAACTCAAGGATTGGATGCTCTGCTGCTTTTTTGTTTGTTTTGCCACATCAACCAAGGCATTTTCACTTCTGCCTTTAAGTTCAAACAAAAATTGCCATATTCTCCGGATTATAGGACGCTCCGGGAAGTAAGATGCATCCCACAATCATTTTATTTTTACACACAAAGCCGATAGCAAAGTTGACAAACACGGTCACACATTCACACACCGAGAGGATTGTAAGACGTACTTCAACCGCTTTACTTTCAAATACAGGGAGATAAAAAAAACACTGTGACATAATCCAGAGAAACGGTATATATAATGCTAAGAATATGGCATTATAAAACATAATTAAAATCAAGGGATAATGTTTGGTTGTCCACTTAACATTCAGAAGACAGCCGGCCTAGGTTATTAGAGACATGGAAGTCAGCCATTGGCTTTCTCTTTTAATTCTTTTTTTTTCCCTTAACCACCCTTTCCCCCATCATTGCCACCTCCACCCATTGACCGAATGTGCAATGTTTGTCAAAATCTGCCGTACGCAGGCAACCAACAAAAGCCAGCCCATTCTCTCGGTCAACTGTTCATATTGAGAACACCGATAAATTCTGCGCTGGCATTGTGATGCAGACCCAGGTCTCATTCAACGCTCATTTTCTTTTTTTTAGGCGGTGGTGGGGGTAGGGGGAGGGAATTCTATATTAAAAAAAACCTCCAGCGACACCGCTTCTCTTATGGCCCCTTGCTTCTACTCCTCCTCGACGCCACAATCATTTTCAACCAGCCCCCACCACCCCACTCCGCCACCAATTCCATCGCTTTATTTGCTCCACGGCTGCAATTTTCTCCAGCGCCGGGCGTCTCAATGGACGCGAGTATACGAACGTGGCCTTGTCTCGCATGCAGGAGATTATAGCGGGCGGCCGGGCGGCCGGGCCGAGCGGGTGTTAAGCTGTCTTGTGGCCGTGCCCGGCTAGCTACAGCCGCCCCTCTGTTCTGCGTGCGCGTTTGTGTCGGGGGTGTGGGGGGGTTGAGGGTGTGTGGTGGTGGTGGGGGGGTGCCTTTCGTTTTTTTTCTTCTTCTTTCCGCCAGGATTGGGTTCTGGGAGACGCTGGTTTTAGCGTCGCCACAATAGGGCTGCCCCAGATCAGGATTTGTGGGAATTAGTGCTACTTTGAAGACATTTTCAGTCGTGCGAGGAGTTGGTGGGGGGAGTGGTGGGGATGCGTGGGTTGCCGTGGCGAGAGGAGGGAGAGGTGGCGGTTTTGTTCGTCCGACTTGTGGGAGGGAGGGAAGGAGCTTGTGAGGGATGTGGAATACCAGATGGCGAGGTTATTTGACTCGTACGTAACGGCGTAGGAATATATGCGCGAATGCTCGAGGAGGTAAGCATCTCATAGATTCGAACGTAGAGTAATAAAGTGTGAGTCGATGTGCAGTTTTTAAGTGTGGAATATCCAGCACTTTTCGGCACTTCGGGACAATGCCATGCGCATTGCAGTTAAAGGTCAAAATGTCTCCTTGCTCAAACAAGCAGTGGGGTGGAGCTCATCTCCATTGGCGGTCCTAAGCCACTGGTGTGAATTCCACATTCCCATGGTGAGGGTCAGACTCTCCATAGGATGACCACTGTTAGACTTTTTTACAATTGGATACATTACTTTATGAACTGTGTATTTTTTGCGTACCTCTGTTTGATTGTACGGAATTTTTGGTGGTATAACAGAAATACACAGTGGATAAATATAAATACGATACATGCATTTTCTGTATAGCTTATGGGCTGTTGGACCAAGTGCTGTTAATAAGCGCCTATTTACACCAGAAATAGCACAAGATGGGGTCAAATCTAGGGGAGGCCCGGGGCAGATTCGGATACCGCTTGCCACGCATGCTATTATCCATGGCCTGGAATCGAACTCTGGTTCATAGCACCGTGTGCCAAAGACTACACGATCTGCAGTGGCACACACACACGTGCCCCCTATAGGAAATGTCTTCCTTTTTTAAATGTTTGACTTCTATTTGCCTGGCTTTCCCTTTCCATATGTCACCCCTGGGACACTGTTAATATTCAACATGTGTGAGTTTGATCATTTCACTTGGCGTAAAACGGAGTGAAGGATTAACATGGTGGTTAATGTGTAATAGAAGCAACGCTCACGAATTGTAAATGGCCAATCTACAGAGGAGCCCACAATGAACATCGTGCCCTCATAATGGACCAGCATGCTGTTAAGATACTGTGCTCAGTAAGGTAGTAATGCATTCAACAATAAT